CTCAACCGTAATATCCAAATGCTAACACATTCATCCAAGAATCAAAGGAAAGTTCAAAATTTTGAAAGCCCGTTATTTTCAAAACAGAATATAACATACAATATTTTATTTTATTTTAAAAATAAAGCATCTGATAGAGCACTTAATAATAAACTAAAACGTACTTTGTTTACTATGATTTGCACCAATGGAAGTAAGCTCTGTGGAGCACTTAAATGCACAGATGATTCCAAATCCACAATATTTTCTTTTTTGCCTACATATTTATCTTCATAATTAGTTTTGGTATATCTAACAGTTTTTCTTCTCCAATAGAAAGAGGAAGTAGCACCTCACACCTAGATGTTTGCAGAGAGAATATATATCTAATGATCATATAAAACTTTTAAATCCTTGAATGAAGGAACAAAATCTTTGAATCCTTTTTTCCTCCCTACGTTTTATGCATCATGTAGCGTAGGACCTAGTACAGAATAGGTGTTCAAAACACAAGTGGTCAAAGAATATTCGTTTACAGATAATTAAGATTTGATGCTCATGTATTAAAAGAAGTAAGAGTATTTTTAGTCTTCTGGTAGTTCTCTTATATTACAGTAAAACAATAATTCTAGGTTTTGCTAAGGATTGTACTTTTTGAACTAATATATTACTTTTGCAAATTAATTTGGTAATATTAGCTATTCTAACAAACATATCTCCACATTTTAATGGAGTAGCAAAATAAATGGGTAAAGCCTAATGCATATTTTCTTAGTAAGTGGGCAGCATTCCTCTGTGTTGTAATTAAGGGATTCTCCTCTTTGTCTCTGGGGTTCTGCCTGCCCTGGGTCTTAGAAGTCTCTGCATTCAGCTAAGGATGGGAGTCCATAGACTAGAAAATGTATAACCGCTGCTTAACTGCCTTGGCCTGAGAGGGACCAACCATCTCAGCCTACAGTCTGTTGATCAGAACTAGTCACATGGACCTACTTGGTCAGGCTAGAAATGGGATCCCTCACTGGGCAGACACTTCCCAGAGTGAATTATACTAAGGAAGGGAAAACACATTTTTTTGGTAGACAAAAAGTTGTCTTTTTTCAAGTTTTTGCCCGCTACGATTTCTTGATAAGCAGGACATTGTCAAAGTCAGCATCTGGGAACTGAAGTAATCCCTTCAAAATGTAAATTCCAAAGATAAGGTATTCTCATGCAAGCGGTAATATAATTATGGACTGCTAGGGCAGTCTAATATGGGGGTTCCCAACTCCTAGGCCACAGAACAGTACCAGTCTGTGGCCTATTAGGAACTGGACTGTACAGCAGGAGATCTGCAGCAGAGTGAGCAAACATTACTTCCTGAGCTCTACCTCCTGTCAGATCAGCAGTGGCATTAGATTCTCATAGGAGTGCAAACCTTACTGTGAACCATGCATGCAAGGGATCTAGGTTGCATGCTGCTTATGATAATTTAATGCCTGATTATCTGAGGTGGAACAGTTTTATCCTGAAACCACCCCCCACTACCATCCATGGAAAAATTGTCTTCCACGAAACCAGTCCCTGTTGCCAGAAAGGTTAGGGACATCTCGACAGGACAGAAAAAGAATGGCAGTAGGAGAGGGTAGGACATCTGAAACAGTATCTGAATTAAAAAGATGATCTGGCTGTCTACTTCAGGAGGCCAAGTGTATGAACACAAGTTGTTGCTAGTTAATATGCTGCTGTCCTGTTTCCCTTAGAGCAGGATCCAATTTTGTTTAAGAGGTGTCAGTGTTGCAGCAGTTATGGAATCATACACAGGCATTAAAAGTTCCTGTTGATAATGTGTTGGGAAGTGATTATGAGTCATAACTTTTTTTTCCCCATACATACCTTAGCTAGGAGGTGTCCTAGACTTGTAGCGGACTAAAGGGTGTGCCTGAAAGGTGTGCCTTTATTTCCTATCTGTATCGTGTAGTTTTATATGGTGCTGACATTTTAAGCCTTCTGATCTTGGTTCAAAGATGTTTATCCTATACTCAGTAAAAAGTTAGTCCAAATAACGGTGGGAACTTCATTTTTTTCTAATATGTAGGAGAGAATGTCTTGGCCTTGGAAATGAGCATCCCTGGACATGGTTTCCTGGTCTTTCTGAAGCAGGCCCTCTTCACCCACAGGTCTTGGCATCGCTCCCTCACTGTGTGCCATCTGGCCAGGGACCAGCTTCCCAAATCTGCCTTAGCAACTAGCTCTGCCTGTGCTCAGGAGGCTGTTTTAAACAACCTCTTCCTGAGGAGATTACAGTGACCTCTCAGAGCTCATAATTTTATGTTCTCTGAAAATTCTAGGCTTTATTGAGGGCAAGAACAATTTTCGAATACACTCCCTCCCCACCTAATTACCCACCACAGTGTCTGGCATATAAATAAAAGGAGTACAGAAAATATATTTATTGAATGAATTGTCTAATTGCCACCCAGTATCCTGGGGTTGGAAATTGGGCAGCAGAATCTCAGTGCCAGTGGCAGGCTCCCTATCCTGGTGGGATACACCCTGCGTCTGCTCTTTTTGCTAGGCCTCCACAGAGGTATCTAGTGTGTGTTTCTATACAGTGCAGTCCACATCAAAGCCATGCTGCGGTACAATCAGTCTCTTACTCAAAATTTTCAAGTTTGAGCTTTAATCTAATCCTTGTCTCCAAAACACTTCTGGCTTCATCTCCCAGCTCCCTACATTTTTCGTTTTCGTGTGTGTGTGTGTGTGTGTGTGTGTGTGTGTGTGTGTGGTATCAAATCTTTTATTGGACCCGTGGTCAATTGAGGAAATAGGAAAAACCTGATACTGAAGGACTTTGGAAATAAAACAGGAAAGACGAAGGGTGAGAAATTTATTCAGATTTCTTCATAATTCCCCCCAAAACCTCCAACCACGTTGCCAGTCCTTGGGTGCTGCGGTTGGTCGCGGAGAGGGGCTGTGTGGAGGTGACCTTCTGGTAGACGGAGACCCGCTTTTCAGACTCTGTGGCACAGCAGGCGGGCCAGGAAGGAACATTTGGGCCACTATCACTCTTAGCTCTGCCGAGCCTGACTTTCTCTTCTCTAGTTTCTTTTCAACCGGAGGGACAAGTGTGGGGATCCGCTTTGGACTCCAAGGCCCTGCCCGCACTGGCAGCACCAAGCGGGTGTAAAATGACTCGAAGGAGCAGGGAAGGAAGATGGATGTCAACTGTCCCGGCCAGTGGCTGCGTGTGTGTGTGTGTGTGAGAACAGGGAAAAGGCCACCCTTTCCCGTGTTTCTCCCGTCTCTTCGGTTCTTGGAGATCCGCAGGGCTGTCCGAGGTAACTCCGAGTTGCCCTGGGTCGCTGGGGCTTGATCAGCATGCTCCTCCGCTAGCCCGCTCCGGCGTTCCACAGCGCCCCGCCGCTCGGTGTGCACGCCTGGGTGGGACACAGTAACAGCCCCTACGCCGCCAACGCAAAAGCAAAAACAACCGTACACCCCATCGCAGTCGCAGCTTTTCTCCGCAAGGTAAGTTGTTTATTCGTCGCCGTTTTGGCGAACCTCCCTGGACAGCTGCGGCAGCGACGGCAGCTGCGCCGCGGGCGCCAAGCTCCCAGCCTCTTCCTTCCTCCGCCCTCTCAGGGCTGCCTCTTACCCCCACCCTCTTCCCTCCTATCCCCGCCTTTTCTCTTCTTGCCCTCTCGTGGGCCACGCAAACACCCGGAGACACCCTCTGCACTTGGCTACTCACACTGCGGCTTAACCCAGCCGACAAGGCACGCTTGCCAAAGAGGCGCGGGTGTGCGTGTGCGGGGTCCGCGTTCAGAGGCCAAAGGAGGGTGGCGTGGTAGAGCCCTTCTCCTCCCGGCCGCGACCCCTTGCCCACTCTCTTTCCCTAATCTCGGCCTGCCAGCAAAAGTGACACCTGAGCAGGGACTGGGCGGTGGAGGCTGCAGGCCCGCTGGTCCGGCAGCTGGGAGAAAACAGAGCAAGGGGCGGGGACAACGAGGAGGAGCGGGAGGCGGGACGAGCGGAGAGGCCGCCACCTGGCACTGAGTGATGTGCACTCTAGCCAATGAACGTGCGGGACTCCGACGTCGGGGCGGGAGGTCGGGGGCGGGCTCAGTGGGGAGGAGGAGGCTGCCGGCGCGCAAGAGGCGGGGGCCGGGAGGAGGAAGGGGAGGAGGCGGAGGCGGGCGCGGTGTCGGTGTCGGCGGCGGCGGCGGCGGCGGCGGCGGCAGCGGCGGAGGGGGTAGGCTGTGCCCGGGACTGTGTCTGCCGAGCTCCGCGACTGTGCCTGTGTGAGTGGAGGAGCGGCGCGGGGAGGCAGAGGCGAGCGCGGGCGATCGCGGCGGCGGGACGTCTCCGGCAGCCGCGGCACCAGCGGCGGCGCTCGGTGTGGAGAAGCAGCGGTAACAGCAGCAACAGCAGCAGCGGCAGCAACAGCGGCAGCGGCAGCGGCAGCAGCGGCGGCCGCCTCTCCGCCGCCGGGGACGCCAAGGTGCGGCTGGTGGCACTGACATCGGCGGCCCTGCCTCTCCTCCCTCGCCCCCGGCCTTCCCCATGTGATCGGTCTTAATCCCGACCGTGTGTGCGCGCGTGGGGCTCCATTCCGCGGTGCCGGTTCTCCGTGCCGGGGTGGGTGCTCGTGTGTGCGCTTCTTCTCCCCATCCCCCTTCCCCCAAGAATAAAAGAAGAACCGGGAGGCGTGCTTAGAAAATAAATAAATAACCACCACACACGCGCAGCCCAGAGCGAGTCGGCTGGGCTGTCGGCAGCGGCGGAGGAGGAGTGAAGGCGGCGGCGGCGGAGGAGGGACGCGCGGAGAAGGCAGCAACTTTAAAGCCAGCTCAGAGCCTAGACCTCCAGCCGAGCGGTTTGCAGCGCGGCGGCGGCGTTGAGTGTCTGGCCCGCCGGTCCGGTCGGGGTGTGCAGTCGGACGGACGAGCAGCGCGTCGCTGTCCTCCGGCGGCTGGAGATGTCCGAGCCTAAGGCAATTGATCCCAAGTTGTCGACGACCGACAGGGTGGTGAAAGGTAAGCGGAGCGCCGCGGTGGCCTGGGTGCACCGTGTGCCGCAGGCGCCTGGGCAGCTCGCCTCGCCTCGCCTCCCCTCCCCCGCCCCAGGGTCTCCTCTACCAGCTCCAGCCGCGGACCTTCTAGGATATTGTGCAACCCGCGAACCCCCCGCCCCCGCGGCGCCCTTCCCCCACGCGTCCCACCCAGCCTCACTTGGGGCATTTTTATTGACGGGGGCGTCAGTTGGCAAATGGCTGAGCCGCGGGGAGGTGGCGGCGGGGGTGGCGGTGGCGGGAGGGGGCGCCCGGGGGGTGGTTGCTGGTAGGGTGTAGCTGCTGTGACAGAAATAGGAAGTGGGTGGCTGCTCGCAGGCTTGCATGGGATCGGGTTTATGGTTTTCTTCTGCAGAGGGAGGGGTGATTTATGGCTTTTAAAAAATTAATATGGCATTTTTATGTGGCCGTGGCTTTCCACCGACTGCCTCGCTCCGGCAGGGTTCTCTTGGCGCTCCATTGCAGCAATTCCCTCCGCGCCCCCCTCCCCCTCCCCCTCCCCCTCCCCTGGAAGGGCCTGCACAGGACTCGCGAGAGAGCGGGAGAGCGTGGGGGGAGCCCGGCGCTTCCTTCCGCGCGGGGCGGAGGCGGGGGCGGCCGCTGGCTGGAGGGTGGCCGCGGGGGGCGCGGGAGGCGGGGAACGACCCGAGAGCACCAGCCGTTGCCGCCCCGGGATTTCCCCCGCACGCCCCGGGGAGAGACACGAAAACCACTTCTCTAGCCTCCCTTGCCATCCCCGGCAGGCCCCCGCCGACCTGTCATTGCTCTTGAAGGGTTCTCCACTCGTGCACACCTCCCAAGTGATAACCTCATTCCGCCTGCTTCCTCCGTGCCCTGGCATCCTTTTTGTAACGGGCTGTTTGATTCCTATTACTGCCTCCTCTTCCCCGCCTCCGGGATGATAAACTCCTGGCGAGGATGGCACTGAGGTTGCTGGCAAACAGAAACTGGGATGTGCGGAGTGAGGAAGGGGACAGGCTGTGGTTGTTCTCTCTATCGCACGGGGATCCACCGGCCTCCTTGTATTCCTAGGTGTAGTGGGGGAGGAATCATCCTATGAATCCTGGAAGGATGAGGCAGCAGAGCAGACCCGCCTGGATTAAGTAGTATCTCTCATTCCTGGGGGTCAGGACACCAAGCAAAGCAGGGATGGGCATGAGCTGTGCGCGGAGCGGGCCTCTGAAATTGGAAGCAGCTCTGGCTGGTGTAATGTGTGTATGTGGTGTGTAGAACAGAGATGGTATCTAATGTGGCCAGAGCATGCAGCTAGAGTGCAAGGCAGTCAAGTCGTTCGCACCATGAGCACTTGAAAGTGAAGTAAACCCAGCAGCCCAAAGACCATGATACACAAGTCCCTCTGGGGTTTCAGAAATGATTCTTTCTCCTTAGAGGTTTACTCAATTTCTAAAGTAATTTTTCTGTGTGAGTGGCAGTGGTGATGGGGGAAATTGTGTTCCCTTTTTTCAGAAAGAACAAAATATCTTCTTTTGTTTTGGTTATACCGGAATCATTCCTGCTTCAGTTTCTGTGCAGGATTCATACACCCATGAAAATAATGAGGAAATAGCTCTGCAAAAATTATTTGAAATAGGGCTGCAGAGAGATGCACAGCTATTTTATTTTTCCTGCGGGCATGGATTTTCATGGAAACAGTCCATTCAGATTTATTTGAGAGAGCTGTGTTTTGCATGAAAGGCTTCTGTTGACATTTTCAAAAATTGAGACCCTTTGCTGGAATATTAGAGAATGATAACTGTCTCCTTAATGTGTGAAGTTTAGATGTAGCTCTAATCTAGGTTAAGATCAAAACAATGTAAAACTTACAATTCAAATGATACTAGTGAATGTGTTGGCAATTAAAAAAACACTTGTGCACACATAGGGTCACATTCCCTGTTTTAAATCACAGGATGTGGATTCTTAATGTAAATGTAAAGTCATGTCATCAGGTGAACATGTAAAAATAAATGTTTATACTTTCTGGCTTAGTGTCTCTACCAGTTAGAATGGAAGAGCAAATGGAAGAGCCCAATCAACCATTCCAAGGCTACTTTGCCTTGGTTTTTTTCAATGCTGTATCATTATAAATGACTTTTCATTTTAGATACACACACCCTCCCATAATTTCAAAAATTTTATTTACATACTATGTGGATAATAGACTCAAAATAGGAAAAGTTAATTTTGCATTTGTTTTGATAGAGATCCTGGTGTGAGATGTGAAATGTGAAATTTTGTTTATAGAAGTTTTGTTGATGAATCCTGATTTTAAGGTGGATACCCTGTTGTTGTTTATCCTGTGTTTTCTTGTAGACTTTATATTATTGGCATGAAAGGCATTATCCAAGGTTGGATTCAATATTTTTTGGTACATAAGATTTTTGTGATTAGTTATTTGAGATAATCTATTTTGATTATTAGCCTTCTGTGAAATAATATTTCCTCTTGAATATGTATACACATATTGAATGAATGGAAAGTATGGGTATGCTGGATGTGAAACCTACTAACAAGTGATTTAATTTCCAAAAATTAGATAATACGGAGTTTAGAAACCATGATTTACTTGAAATTTTGTTAGAACTTCATCTCAATGGCTATTTAAATCATTATTTAATACAGAAAAGAAGTTATCCTTGAGGAAGTATTTGTGCCCCTTAAGTTTTCTCTTTTTTACAAAGTATGTGTAGTATTATTTACTATATATGCATACAGAAATAAATATTCAGATTGTTATTACCATGGCATGCTGTGGCATTTGCTTACAGTTACCATTGTTAGTGTCATCTGGCTTTTGTTGTATAACAGATTGCTATTTACAAATAAAGATGTGCTTGTGGTTTGTAGTAATATGATGTGACTGTTTTCTTAATTGTACTTTTAGAATGCAGCTTTAGAGAGGTAGGTTGAGTTTGTCTCAACTATGTTATTTTTGAGGTTTATAGAATCTGCTAGCATGTATTCAGAGACCCTGATCAGTTCTAAACCTTAAAAATGAAAGAGAACGATGGCAGTGGAGATGAAAAATACTCATTTAGATTATCCCAGGAGAAAAAGTTACTTCAGTTAGCAAAACTAGTGCTGTTTCATTTTGAGTCTTCTTGGATTAAAACAATGGAAAGTAGAAAAATTCAGTGAAAACATCTTGCTAATGACATTTGCTGGAAATCAAAATAATTTGATCTATTTATTGTTTTACATTATGTTTTTAAAGATACATACAGCAAACCGACGGCAATAAATAGAAGAATAACCGTCTTCCTCCCCTCAACCCCTGTCCTGATTTTTCTCTTGGTGGTACTCTACAGGCCTTGTCCCAAACTTTGGCTTTTCTTCATTTCTCTCTATTCCTGCTTAGAATGTTTTGTCTGGCCCTAGCATTCCCTGTTGGTCATAGAACTTTGCTATGTAATAGTTAAAAATACTTAGAGGAAATTAAACCCTATGTGATAATGAGTGTTTGGCTTTGTTAAATCTCTTAACCTTCCTTCCCTCTGTTCCCATCCCGAAGTTATTTTGTGATGGGACTTTTACCTTAACTCAAACTGATTGTAATGGTAGAAATTTTGTAAACTATGGGAGGCTGTTGAGAATAAATTTCTGAGGAGAGTTTTGTGGAATCTCTCAGAAACTGTAGGTAGTACGTTGTTGTGCTTTGTGTAAGGTTGCTTTTGGCTCTAGAGAATGAGCTGTTTTCCAGGTGTATTCACAGCTTAGTACTTCATGTAGACAGAGTACACATAGGGGAATTCTGAAAAGATACTAAGATCCTATATAGAAGCAAGAAGATGCTAATTAAGTATTAGTAAGTAAATAAGGATTCCAGTCACTAGTATTTCTAGCTGGGTGAGACTGATAATACTACTTAAAAAGAAAACAAATATGCCACATTGGTAATAACTGTGGTGTTTAGACCTTGATGCAACAGAGTAGTAAATAATGTCATTTATTTGTGGTGTTCCAAGAAGAACTTGTGAATTTATTTTGCTGACATTTTGTTACCATCAGTTGAGTTTCATGTATCTGGTTTTCAATTTGAGTATAGTGAAACTTTATTAATTCAGTATCATGAATTTAAATTTATTGTGAAAAAACACCAGTGTTTGTTGGCTGAAGTTTACATCAGCATTGGATGTGAAGAAAGGGGTCCAGTAATCAAAGAGTATAAACAACGTAGTTCCAGCATTGTTAATATGCCAAGAGAACAAATTCTTTTCAATACTTAGTGAACAGTGTGCAAATTCATCCTGCTCGTTACAAGTTAGGTTGGTCTATTTATTAACATTTCCTTTCGGGACTATTATAAAGTGAATATAACACAAGTACATTGTTGTAAATACATTCAGTAAATTTAATGATTAATGCAACAATTGAGACTGGGATTCAGGGGAATTCTGGTGATTCTAAAATGCCATCAATTAGAATAATCAACATTTTGAAGATAATAGTTTTTTTGGGAAGTGTGGAACAGAACCCTTACTTTAAATGGACAGTATATCTTAAGACATCCAGTTAAAATAGGAAAAATTTAACATCTAGCATCTAATTAATGAGGTTTACTCTAAGATTTGTTTAAAAATATGCCTTTTAAAATCTGTTTGTCTCTTTATTTATTTGTAATTTTAGAGAGATGAAATATGATTTTGAGATACCATTCATTTATAACTTTTGTAATTGGCCTCTCATGCTTTTCCTTATCTTTTTTTGTGTCAGCTATGTGTAAATTTGAAACTAATTATGACACCAAATAAAGAATCCATTTAGGGTGACCTCATTGGAAAACACCATTTTTGCAGAGATACTCACTCTCCTTTTAGCAATGGAGATGTGATGGTTAAATTACCATTTTGAATACTTCCAGAACTGTGAAGAATGGTGGTGATTCATGATACAGAATTTTGATAATTACTAAAAATTATTTTGTCAATTTTTTTTCAGCAACTTTCTGATGTAGCAGTCTCTTGATATATAAGAGGGATATGGTGAGACCTTGAACTTCAACTTTCTGTAATTCCACTGGTATATGTTATAACTTCACAGGCTAACTTTCCCTATACATAAAAGGGGATTAATTGTATCCACTGCCAACTTGTGAGGACCAGAGGATAATCAAATGGGATATGGGGGGTGGGTGGTTACACTTTGTCCACTGCCTGGTAATGGCGATTCAGTCACTGCTAACACAGAATTAGAAATGACAACATGTTATGTATGTTTTGGTCACCTGAGAATAATCAGAACCATTAGTATTGAAAGCCATGAGTGCCTTGGGTCAAGAGTAGGTTATGATGAATTTTATTTTTATAGTTAAAGAAGTGGAGACAGAATACATAGAATGGTTACAGGTAAGTGTAAACAAATTATTTTCTTTATTAAAGAGGCTTTTCTCACTTAAAAATATTTTTGAAAATTGCCACTGGCCAGGTGTGGTGGCTCACACCTATAATCCCAGCACTTTGGGAGGCTGAGGTGGAAGTTTGGACAACATAGCAAGACCATATCTCTTAAAAAAAAAAAAAAAAAAAAAAGAAAAAAAGCAAATGGCCACTTCTTTTGGTATATTTAAAGTCTCTTCGCATTTTGTTACCCATTTTGTTTTACTCAATAATTAGCTATGTAAAATGGTGTGATTGGGAGAGGAAGCTTTTTATATTTCTGTATTTAGTTGACATAAAATTCTGGTAATAAATATTATGATCTAGTTTGACCTTGGCCTGAGGTTCACTAAAGAAATACTGTTAAACATTGCTTTCTGTTCAGGTAAATATATACACAGGAATAGAATAGCATACTCTCCTGCAAAGGAATGTCATTTACTTTCATTTTGAAGGATGTTGTCTTAAGCCTGTTTGTCTGAACTCCAGGTAATGACCCACACTGATGCTCTGGTTTGACAAACAAAATCCTCAGATTTGATGATTTTGTTAATTTCTAGAGCAGGCTCAGGTCAAAATATCAGTCAGTGATTCTGAGGTGTTGCATTCCTATTTTTAAAGCAGTCATTAGGTGGGACTGATGTGTGCAATGAAATAGGATTTTAGTTTGTAAATTAAGTCTTTAGTACTCTTGACATTTTCAGCATTCTAAAATCATTTTATTTTACAATAATTCTATCTTTTATATGAATCCATCAATTATATTTCATTTGAGAAGTCAAATAACAATATTGTATTCCTCCATGGTTAGGGGTTCTGAATAATGGCTTAAATCAGATGGGTTGTCAACTTTATGACCTAGCCCAGTTGCTGGTATCTCAAATCTGTTTTAACAAATACGCACTCGGATAGTGGAAACTTTAGATATTAAAAAATAAAAGCCCTCACTGAGGAAGTGGCAATAAATTATTAAAATGCTATGTTTTTGGAATTCAAGTAGATTCTTTTTGAGACCATCATAGAGAGGAATAGAACTTTGTTTTCCTTCTTTTTGTTTTCCTTATCCATGCTTTTGGATAGTCACAGCAAAATATACTGTGACTCTATTTTAAAAAATGGTCTGCCTGTCTGTGAACTTCTGTCTTTTGCAACTGGAAGTTTTGTGTGTATCTTTCTGCAAAAGAGGAAAACAAGTAGATATCAATGATTTATAAAAGCTACCTCAAGATTATGACATACTACTTTACAATGTTTGTCAATTTCAGGTACTTTCGACAGCTGTGAAACCGGAAGAATGGTGGTTGATGTTCAAAGACAGAGTTTTATTTATATGGAGCTAAATTTAAAAAATTTTCATCACCTCTAAGATTCTTAGACTTAAAGTGAGTCTTTCTGTGGTGATTTTATGTCCTAGCTTTCCTTTCTTTGGGGAAGAATTAGTAGTAGTTTTCATTTAAAATGTCCAGTTGTTTCTATGTAATATCAAAATGTTTTGGAAATTCTAGTCTGTCAGTGTCTAAACTATGTGTCTTGGTTGCTGCATATACTTGGAAGTTGCATAAAATTGTTAATATTTGTATTCAAAGTTTTAGTTTGAAAAAAATGGTCATTGTCTTATTGGTCCCTAGCTCAATGCCTTGCTCATTATGCACTGAATAAATTCTTGTTGAATGATATGGGCATTGCAAAATTCTCATGTGCCTTCTGAAGCCTTTGTTTTTATTTTGAGTGTGTTATATTAAGTTCCATTTGTAAACGGTTCTGTATGGTGACTGGCGAATTGGAGTGCTTCTTTCTCCAGCCCAATCGGGGCATGGAGTATGAGAAGGAGGCATTAATAAGGTTACACAATTAGAATGAGAGCTGTTTTGTTTGGTCACTTGAACTCACTTTATCCCTGCTGAATATAAAAGGCTAAGTTCTATTCAGTTTAGTTTATTTGCTTGAACCTGACACCTGTCTTTCAGTTTTTATTGTATTCCCCCTAAGGCTGATCAATTTCTGACAAGTGAGAAAAAATACGTTAATCAATGAGTGTTTGATTTATTGGGTGATTTGTGTATTTTAATTATTGTCTAGACATGGACTTGAAGATAAAATGACCTGGTAAATTTCATGAAAAAGAAAACAAATTGGAAAAAACCTGTTTCCCTGTTTGCATCTCAATATATCATTTCCTATAGTGCTTTTGTAATCCAGAAATGCAGCCTTCTCCAGCATGACCTCTTTCCCTTCTCTGGCCCCCAAAATGTCATTGGATGCCTTCCAGTGGAAAAATACACAGGCTATGAAAAGTTAAGAAAAAGGTAGCACTAATGCTGTTGACTCCTTAGATTCTTACAAGTGGACTTTGAGCCATCCATTGACATTTGTTTTTAAAACATCTTGTAAGTTACGCCATTTTATCAAGTTAAATTAAAAGCAGGATATATTCTTAAAAGGATGGAACCTGAATCAGGAATTCAGGTTTATTTT